TGAAGTTTCGATTGTTTGATGTTTGACAAATAGCTGCGAAGTGGTCCAAAAAGGAGGAACTGCAACATCTTTATATATATATATATATATAGAGGTTGTTAATCCTTTTCGCAGGACTATGAGCTGGGTGACGTCTACAAGACGTGCTCCCAAGTCGAACCCGACAGCGATCCAAATCCAAGTGCAAAATAGTGCAAATTGCAAGTTAAAAAATGTTGAAAGCATGAATAAGCAAGTTGAAAGCACTTCCAGGTACATTGGTTTTTTAATTCGACGAGAAGCTTTCGAGGACAAAGCACATCCTTAGCAGATGTCGTGTGTCGGCTTTTCTGTTCGCAGGATGCCCTCAAAGCCATGGATGGTCACATTGCGGCCTCCACCCTAGTAGCGATGGCCTCCAACCTAATAGGAATGGCTTCCACCCTCCTAGCGATGGGTGCCTTGAGTTTGTCTTCTGTCTTCCTTCTGCCACTGATCGGACCGGATTATGATTTGTTTGTATCTCATGCATTGTCGGACTTGAGGTACTGCAAAGGCAAAAGAGCCAGCCTTTTGTGCACAAGGCTTGTGCTCACGTTGATTCAAAAAGACGAGGCAAAGACGGGGAGTGTTTGGTGGTTTTTGTACTCTTTCTCAAGTCCAGAGACTTCAATGCTCGCCAAAAACAGCCGCGGAAGAAGGAGCTGCTCTCAAAGATCGTCCTGCTGATGAAGTTGGAGGCCTTAACACAACAATGTGGTGCAGAATCTTCATTGCTTAATGGCATTCAATGGCTCCATGAGCGGAATCAACATGTCAGGATTCTGTCAGAGCTGAAGAACTGATAAGCTCTTCAAACATTGAAGGCCGGGGCCGTCGGGGCAAATGTTGTTGGTTATTTTTTTGAGTGGATGGTGGTGAAACATTGTGAAACTGTCAGTTGTTGGTAATCAAAGCTTGTCATTCTTCCAATGTGTTTGTTTCCTTCTACAGAAGCAGTGATGTCGGTCCAAGCGCCCTGGAAGATGTTGAAGCCGTCTTGCATCAGCGATGGACAATTTGAGCTTGTGAAAGCGGTTTGTTCAATTTATTCTACATCAAGCGATTCGGACGACTTGGTGTCAGATAAATATGTGGAAGATTGTTCTTTCAGTGATCCATTGGTTGAGGTCTTTGGCCAGGTGAACACCAAGGCGCAGTTTCGATCTCTGCGGATGCTATTTAGCGAGATTGACTTCAAGGTACACGGAGTGGGCCTCGTCGGCGAGGGAATCGTGATTCATGCGACTGTGTCGTATTTTCCTCGAGCTTTGCCTAGAGCCTGTGTGATACGGCTGGAGCAGTTTACGAAGCTGATGACGCGAGATGGACTGATTCTTAGCCATGAGGACCACTGGTCTATTCATGGGACCATGCGAGTTGTTTCTGGCCTTGGTTGGATTTATGGATGGTGGCGCCAGCTTTTTGGAAAAGCTTCCAGCATGGGAATTGATGCTTTGTCTTGCCCAAAGCGCAAGACCTCTTGATGGAATGCGGAGGAATTTTGCAGTGTATCTTGATGTTCTCAGCTCTTTACCGTCACTCTGGGCGAACCAAAAGTCTTATCACACCCACCTCGAGAGGCAGCTCAAGGAATCTACTTAAGCCCCCTACCAGGACTTTCCTGCCCTGGTTCCCCTCCAAAGCTGCAGCGCTTGCTGGCCAAAGTGCGCATACTCTTTTTGCGAGCGTAAACGTGGATTCATGTGCATCCTGTACCTTTGCAAAAGTGGATCCACGATGCCATGGAGAGTTCAGACAGTGAGTCAAGCATCCGAACACCACTTCGGCCAAGGTTGGTTTTTGTCCAGAGAGTACCAGGCCTGGAACTCGAGACAGCTGTGTCACGTGTGTAGTGAGCTTTTGAGACTATCAGGTTTGAATCATTGAAGTCATTTGTCGCTCGTGTGAGGTTGGCACAGATCTTGTTGAAGCCATGAAGAGCAACGATGCAGAAGCGCTCGCAGGACTTCAGAAAGAGCAGATCTTCACGTTCCTGCAAGTGGAGGCGTCGACGCAATGGCTCGATTCATTGAAGTACGCGCTATCTACAACTGTTTCAGCTTCAGACACTTCAAAACCATTGAATTCAGCTCGTCTTCAGAGACTTCAGGTGGCACGGATAGTCAAGCAGTTGAAGGCGCAATCGTGCTTTTGTCGTCGCACTGAGCGCTGGGGACCGCTGGGATGGTCAGGTCGTCACAGTCAAAAGTGCGAGTCCAGTCCCCAGAGCCCACAGAGGGTGACCAGGTGACTTTTTCGCAATGAGGTGGTGAAGAACCTCAAAAGCGTGACTTAGCGGATTTGCTGCAGTGAACCTCAAACAGTGGCAGTGCAGAAGCCAGTGCCAGCAAAATCATCTCATTGCCAATTCATCACACAGATGCATTTGATCTTGCTTGGCATGCTTGAGAACGTTAATTACCCATTTTCTTGACATAACTGAGCTATCCCCTCGCAGGCGCAGCGGCCAGAAACGAGCTCTGCAATTATGAGATAGTAGGCAGTAGCCAATGCAAAATATGCTACTTTTCTAGCCTTTTAGAAACGGCGTGCTCTCCTTTGGAGATCGTTGCCTGTTTAGAAATTGCTATTCCTCCGGCTTCCTGTGTGGTGAATGCACTTAAGGTGTACCACCAACAATTAAGCCCGCGGAGCCAATTTGTTTTGCAACGCGAGTCAAGAACGCACTGACATGCTCGCAAATGCGATGGAAAAGAGATGCTCTCATGCAAGCCTGATTCTTTGTCCTGCGGCTCAGCATACCTTTGTGTAATGTCTCCATTCTTTCACATTTGGATCCTTAGGGCGGTGAGGCATTGTAGAGACTTTGGTATGCCCACGAACCACTCACGCGTTTACAAGTTTTGTTGGGCGCAGTCCTTTTTGATCGTTTTTCATTGCTGAGTGTGGCGTACAGTGTTTGGGGCTCTGCCAGCGGCAGCCAAGCCAGACCTACGGATCCCACAGCACGTCCCCACCCAGCATAAGAATCTTTGAGGGCAGTGTTTCTGGAGCCGCCTGCAGATTCAGATAGAAGGCCCAGGCTTTCTTGGTCAATTCCCCTGATCGCTTCCCTGTAGCAACTGTGGCTTTTATCGTTTCGTTGCCGCACAAGCTCGTTTCGCTGGAACCGGCGAAAACCCTTTGCGCGTGTTTGTGGTGCACGATCCTTTGGCTCAGAGCAGCAATACGCCTGCCAAACTCACTTCTTGCGTGATTGAAGAAAACACACGCCTGCCAGTCCGCAAGACCTGCCATTTGGAAAAGTTGATTCACCGGTTTGCTTCACAAATTCTCTTGACAAAGCGGTGCTGTTAAACCATTTACGGTCATTTCTTACAGAATTTACACAAAGCAAAGCAAAGCACCTGGACGTGTCGTCATGAATCTGAAATGCGGTATCCTCTGCCACTTCTGCCTAGTCTTTTTGTCGAACCCTTGGACACAGCACGAAATGACACGAGATGTTGCGAACCGGCCTGCAGCCACCTTTCGGGAAGCAATAGGATGCAATTCTGTTGTGTTTGCTCAGGCTCTTGCCACATGTACGATCAAGCAGAGCCGGAAAGCTTAATTCAGAGAAGCCTCAGAGCTTGCGTAGCCGGTGAGGCATTTTCCAATCCATTTATACGCTGGCATACGATCCTCACTCAGGTGACCGGCCATGATCATGCGACCTTGGAGGTGTTGGGCTCAGAGCTATGGCAGCGCTGAAGTTCCTTTTCACCGCAGGCAGAGCAAAAGAAGAATCAAGGCCCGCACACTTAGTGACTTAGTGATTGAGCCCTCTTTCATTCCTCTTTCTTTTTGATCCTCTTTGTGCAGCTTGGCAGTGGAACGTGCAAGTTCTCATCGTTGATTCATCAACTCAGGCAGACTTGTGGACAGTGCCCTCGTCGCAGGCCACAGATGGACTGTAGAATGGGTCTTTAGGGATCGGGATAGGTCACCGGCAAAATGTTGAAGATGGTATTGGGCCAGGGAGCCAGCTCTTGACAGCCCACGACATTGCAAAGATGCATCAACCTTGGCATGAAAGGTGTTTTCTTCACGATGTTCCGTGTTGTCGTTGTTGGAGGCGTGGTAGTGAAAATGGTTGCATCTACGAAGAACGGGAGCGGATGGGATGTCACGCACCTGCCTTGGAGTCGTTGAGAGTCCTGGAAGTGAGAGCCTTGTTCCTAGTAGCTTCTTGTTTCTAATAGCTTCTTGTTACTACTAGTAAGGCACTTGTTACTAGAAGCGATGCACTTGTTCCTAGTAGCTTGGTCAATCGAAGAGCTTAGGCTGGCTGTGTTTGTGCTTGGTTTGAGCAGTGGCGTGCTCAAATGTGCTCAAGGTGAATGTTTTTGATCTATTTCCATGCACAATCGCAGGAATGCACTATATAAAGCCACACAAACCAAGGTGCTATCCAAAGTTTGTCATGGTCCGTGGAGTACCTTGTCATGAAGTACCGTAAATGCCAAAGATGCTAAAATTCAGACACAGCTTGAGAAAGTGTTGCATCCTAGGATCAATCCTCATCAAAGGTGCTGCATTTGTTGTTGTGATGAAATACAGAATCATTCTGTTTTTTGGTTCAAATTCTTTGGGGACTGAAAGTGGAACCGTCCAGGCGAAGTCGAAGATCAACGTAGGCCTCTAGCTTAGAAACCAAGGCTACAAGGTCAACCCTCTCACCTCTGCCAGTGACTGAAGCTGCTTTGAAAGGGTCCTTAGCGCGTGCAGCACGACTCTTAGGAATTTGTGACCTTGCTATGCCAGTGCTGGCCGTTGCGTGGAGCACTTAGAATCACGACATTTGGGATGCCTAGGGACCGTGCTGAGCTTCAAAGATGGTTGTCAGTCAAGGTCTGTGTTGCTCTTCTTAGTGCTCATTTGCCTCGTTGTTTCAGCGAGAGACTAAGAAACGCAATCTCAGAGGGCCGCACGCGCGAGGGCGTGTGTTGGTTTGACTTTGTTTGTTTGTTCGTTCGTTCATTTGTTTGTGTGTGGTTGTCTGCGCGCGCCTTTGCTTGACTGATAAATATGAAAAAACGAAAGCAACAAAGAGCCTCAAGCCCTGCCAGGCTCGTATGTATTTGACGAAGGCCTCCCTGTGTAAGAAGAGGGGCAAGCTTTTTTCTTCTAATTCTACTTTGAGAAAATGCACCATTCTTCTTGCGAATGCCGCAGGATGCTGTCCCTGTCGACCTTGCTTTTCCGTCGGATGCAAACCTTGCCTCCTTCGAAGCCAAGGCCATGACTTCACCTGGGCAGGATTTATGAATATGACTGACAGTTCTGCACAAGGAATAACTGAGAGAACCTACGAAGTAGAACTCTGATCAGAAACATGCACATGACACTTGCATATTGGACGGACAAGACCATGAGGTGGAATCGGTCTACCGAACGAAGCACCTTGACAAACACCAACAAAGGCAGAGCACAAGAAAGGAGCGGACCACGTGTGAAGCCTGATGGATTCCACTCCCTTCCCTGAAAAATACTTATATGAGCATCCGGCAAAACATCCGTACATGCACTGTATTCATGAGCCGCCTTAAGTATTTCTGAATTGATCAAGTAGATCCTCAATGATCCCTTTCTCCTTTCATACATCCATCAAGAAACCGAACACAAAAGGAAGCATAATCACAGAAACTAGCTTAAGAGCCTCCCCAAAAAGCCTTTGAGTGCCTTATAACAATTGGAATTGAAGCGGTAGATTAAAGCATACATAACACTACACTACATCTAATCTAGCGGGTTCTGCAACGGATTCTTTGAGGGTTTTGACAAGCATCGCTTAAAAGGACATATAATGAAACATCGTGAAAGTGAAAGGGCTTTGATCCCTCGAGCAGCACTAGTGTGGTTGTTCCGGCCAACACAGCAACCAACAGTCATCAGTGTGTCGCCGCCTTTGTTAATGCATATAGCATCACAGGCCTTGCATCTCTTGCATGAACAAGAATGCTCGAGAGTCGAGAGTGATTTCTTACACTGGTGGTGCAAGGTGAACAGACTTGCTGGTTTGTGAAAGCGCCCTACAGACAGACTCAGCTCTGAACATATCTCGTCTCGTCCGCAAGATTTGTTTTGATGTCTCTGCTCGGCACCGTTGCGCCGAAGCGCTTTGGGTGCCCAATTTCTCAACAAATTTTGAAATTTACTTGGCCCACAAACACATCACGCAACCTAACTACCCCAAGTGGAGATTGGCGGAGCTGTGGTAGGAGCACTCTGACCTCGAGAAAAGAGCAAAAGGAGACTGGGTCAATTGGGAATCCAAGTGACAGGATGTGACAGGCAAGCTGCTCACATGGTAAAACTGCGGAAGAAAGGGTGCTGCTGGCGTGAGCTGATGTGAGCCCCGCGTTACACGCAAAAGGGCAACGGCAATACTGTTCATTTCGAAAGAAGCAAGATAGGCAAATACAATCAAATATATACATGCCAATACCAAATGCACCCAGAATGCCCCACAAGTGTCGAATCCGCATCAGCAATCACCAACCGGAAATATTCACGAATCGGGTTGGCATGGTTCTCGATGATGCCGATCTTATCCTGTGTTTCGCAATGTTATCACTGCAAAGATATGTTAAGCATTGAAGCATTCTGAAGCATTAGGCATTGCTCAAAGCCATGAATTGCTTAGTGCAACGGCTTGCAGCGAAGTTTGCTGCATCCAGGCACCACCAGCTCCGGAACCGGCACCAGCTGACGAGGCCCAGCCTCTCGGGTTACGTAGCTAGGTACAGACGACTCTTTCCCAGAGTCGTTTGCCACGAAAAAGCCTTCCAAACCATTCCAGATCAAACATCTCAAAAAGGCTTTGTGCCATTTTGCGCCTCTTCAACTGACACGACAGGTGCATGAGGCGGAGAAAACCAATGGCTGATTCTGATCGCTCATGGTGAGACAGGCTTGTTCAGGCTTTCAACTTGGAGAAAAGGTGTGCCAAAACGAGCTCACTGTCACTGGCTTATTGTCAAAACATGTCAAGACTCACGGACATTCATGGACTCGGCAGCCACACTTTCGTCACCTGTGCGGTTATAGGACTTCGGTCCGGCACTGGGGCGTTGTCCAGACTTTTTTGGTTGAAGAGGCCAAAGCACAATCTTCATCAATCTTCTTCCTTGGAACATCTTGGAAAGACCATGTCGTTTGAAATCGCCCCATGGGTGGCCCTTTGCGAGAGCTGCCTTTGACTCGTGGTCATTGGTGCTGCTCCAGGATGCCTCAGCACTTTGCTTGGACGGTTCACCAGGAGGATACTTCATCGAGCCCGGTTCCGGCACAGGTGCCCAGAAATGGATCATACACTTTCAAGGAGGAGTTTGGTGCACTAGTCTCGAAGGGTGCCTCGCACGCTCAGAGACTTTATCGGGCAGCAGTACTATGTGGGCAGCTCAAAAGGAACATTTTTTGAAGGACTTTGCCCTAGGCTGACATCAACCCGGACATGCACAACTGGAATAAGGTTTGGGCGCTCTATTGCGATGGCAGCAGCCGAGGTGGCAATGTGGACGGCCCTGTTGAAGTTGGCGATGGCAGCCAGGTCTACTTCCGCGGCGCACACATCTTTGGACAGTTTGGCATCGGCTGGGCTGACAGGAGCTACAGACTTCATTGTCACAGGGGAATCTGCTGGAGGTCTCACTGTTATGTTGCACTTGGACTTCATCCGTGCTCGCTTCCCCACTGTGAATGTGGTTGGCATGAACTACTGTGGCTTCTTCGTGGACCTAGCAGACGGGCAAGGCATACCAGCCTGCGCGATGCCTTCAGCTCTTGGCTTGGGGATCAAAGTGTTTTCCGGGACGACGGCAACGTGGAGCCCAATGCCAACCCCACCTGCGCAGTGAGCACACCGACATACATGGAGCCACAAGGCCCAGATCCTGTGCCTTTGATCAGCTCGATACCAAGTGCTTGGCCAAGCTGTGAACCAGGGCTCCACGGATCCAGAGATTAAAGAGTTCTTGGAGGTCAGGACGGCCACGTGTTCTTCCTCGTGGCAAGGGCATGGCACCCTGTGCGTGGCCATCTGATGACTGGGAGCCTCGGCGGATTGAAATTTTGGGCACTTTTGTGTGCGCTGAGCCGGACGGTCAAGGTTCATCAGGGGGAAGGCCATTGGATGCCTTGCTCTTGTGAGACCTTTCTTGTGAGACCTTCCTTCTTGAGGCTTTTTCTTCTTGTAAGACCTTTGTTTTGAGACGTTCCTTGTGAAGCTGAGTGTGAAACTGCTTTCTCGTGAAACATTCCTCGGGACCTCTTTCTCTCGTGACCCTTGCTTTGACAGCCCCATTTAAACTGCTATAAGACCTGCAAACGGGTGCGTAGACAGTGCAATGCATGGCGGCTTTGTGTAGCAGAGGTCCTTTCGCAAAATTAACATGCTTACTTACTGTAATGCTTGGGGAACATTTTCCTATATATATAGAGGTTTTAGTTCTCCATAATTACGAAAGCATAGGCTAGGCTTGAGCTTTTAGACCGAACGAAGTGAGTTAAGGGGGTGTGGGGGGGGGGGGTAGGAGGCGAAATAGGATCACTAGTGACCGATCCTGGCGATCGATCCGGGGTGATTGGTTTGGTTTGTTTTCCTGCTTTGTTTTCGTTTCCTTCGTTAGACCTCTCTGGCGACCGATTCTGACGACCCATCCTGTGTGGTTGGTTTGGTTTCTTTTGCGACCGATTGCCTGAACGACCAGAAATCGCTGTTTTGATAATACAGATCCACAGCACATCCCCAGTCTAGTCTGTTGTGCTTGACTGGCGCACGTGGATTTGGGACTGTTTGGATTTTGTCTGAGCGGACTTGAGTGCAGCAGCTTTGCTTTCCAAATAGCCAGTTGTTAGGGCTCTGTTTCCAATGCCTTTCTGTTACGCGCAGGATTCTCTCTGTTTTCGGCGCTGTCATAGCAAAACGGGATCAAAGCTGGTGTAAATATCAACAACGCGGCTTGCACACACCCTCCCAAAAATAGTCCTTTGTGCAAACTTTGCATCTTCTCGAGGCACAAAGTATCCCAAACGATGTCACTGATGTTGATGCCAAAGGATCCAAGACGACAAACCACCCACGCCTCAAAAATATCAACAAAACCGCGATGGCCTAGAGGAGGTAAAGTGAGGATCACCCGCTCCCGGTCAAAGAAAAACATTTGGACTGCTCCTCCCCTACCAAGAACTATGTGGGTATCAAACACGCATTTCTTGAGTTCAGGATATTTTAGACAAAAAAGCTGGACTCAGGGAGCGTCTTTTTGTTCTACAGATCCGTGCGCAATTGATCTAAAAAGACTGCGCCTGCTGGCCTGCTGGACTGCCCCGTGGCACCAGCCACATGCATCAAACACAACGCGCGTGCCTCCCGTGGAGACACCCTTGTGGCTGCACAAAATCAAAGATTTTACTCACTTGTTGAGACACTGAGAGAAGATCTCCAGTACATTCAAGGGCCAAAACACCAGCCAAAAAGAAAAAACAATGACCCTCCTCAGAGAATTAGGTCCTTGATAGGAATGTCCCATGATGCACGTGCACAGCACTCGCATCCTCCTAGACTTACACCTTCCAATCGCACAGAATGTCTCCAGTGTGCCCCGAGATGTCCTGCGCCTCCAGTGAGCTGCAGCATTTCACCGCTGCATCGTAGTCTCCATCCAGGAGGCCATTGCCATTAGGTTGGAGATGGCCAAGAGTTACTACGTAGTAGCGTCCTTTGTTCCCAGTAGCGATGCCCTCTGTTACTAGTAGCTTCTTGCCCTTTGTTCTAGGTCCAGATTGCATGCGCACACTCATACTTCACGGCCGGTCTCTGGAGGAACACGTCAGCTTCTTGCTCCACACCTGCTGGACACGTTTGTCAGGGGAATGAACTGGGCAGACCTGTAGACGTCAAAACCTAGCTTCAGCATCGTTAGGACTGCCTGTCTCCCTGCTGCGGCGCCTGCGTTGTGGACGGCGGACGGTGCAGAGCTCGAGATGTTTTTGGAGGAAGTCAGATTGACCTGTGCCCCCTTGACTCGGAGGTAGGTATCGTAAATGCATCCTGTTGACTAAGAATGTGAGAGTTATTTCTTGAGGATGCAATTCTATATACCCTCCAGATATGGTGGGCACCAAGTACAAAATACTTTTAACGCGAGCCGGCTCCAAGGCTACCGTCCTCCTGGTGCAGGCGCATCAGCCAGCCAAGTATAGTCCAGGACTGGGATCTGGTTGGGTGGCATGAGGAATGAGTTGGGAATTTAAGAGATCATGGTGCTCCCACTTCTCAAGATTAGTTAGAGAAGAAGCAACCTCACGCACCGTGGTAGATTGAAGCCCCAGCAAGCAAAGCACACCATTGGGAGCCATCTTCCATGAAGATCTCCAAATCACCCTTCTGCAAACACTTTCAATTTCGTTTTGCTGCCTCAACAGATTACAGGGCAGGAGGGCACCATATCAGCTCACTGACCACCGGTCCGGGATCCGATCGCCCAGTAGCACAGGACTTGGCCGAACGGGGGGCGCGGCCTCTCGAGCGGCGGCCGGTGAAGCCCACGCGCTGGCCCTGTCCGCTGTGGGTTCCAGGTTGGGGGTCCTGAGATGAATCAGATATGGGGTGGTAGGTTGAAACACCCACACAGGTGTCAACACACCACAAAAGCAACGAAAACAACCGCCAGGCACCACCATCACCACTAGTACTGGCTTGGCGTTTTAGGTTAGGGTTCAAGTCAGGTGTTCAGGTTTTAGGCTTAGGTTTTTCGGTTTAGGGTTTCTACGGCTACAAATACAACTATTAGTATGGACTTCTGAACTTTATCACTACTATTACTACTTTTCCTTCCACACGACTTCTACTTCTACTACTAGTGGTACTAGTGGTACTAGTGGTACTAGTGGTACTAGTGGTACTACTACTACTACTACTACTACTCCTACTACTACTACTGCTGCTGCTACTACTACTACCACTACTACTATTATACGTTTTAAGGGTTAGGTTTTAGGGTTATGGTTACGACTACTACGGCTATTTTATTTCTATGATTACTAGTATCACTATTATACTTTTACTTCCATTACTATTACTACTACGATACTACCACTGCTGCTACTACTACTACCACCACTACAACAACTACTACTACTACTACTACTACTACTACTACTACTACTACTACTAGGTTGTAAGGTTAAGTTTTTTAGGGCTAGGTTTTAGGGCAAGGGTTTTTACGACTACTACGAGTACAATTTCTAATATTACTCGTGTCACTGTTATACTGTTACTGCCATTACTATTACTACTACTAGGCTGTAAGGTTAGGTTTTTAGGGTTAGGTTTTGGGGTTGGGGTTTGTGGGACTACTACGACGACCATTTCGCTGGTCGATGGCGGCTTCTGAGAGCCGAAGCTCCCCACCAAAAGGCCTGGGCTTGGACTGGTCAGTAGTGTCGGGGATGCCATCAGTAGTAGGGCTCATCTCAGGGTTGGAAGTCCGAGAACCTGAAGGGGCAAGGGTTCCAGCTGTTCAAAACATTGTCCTTCAATCAAAAGAAGTCAACTGAGTTCACAGCCAAGTCAATTGATTGCGCACGGGCAAGTTGTCGCTGCTCGACGACGAACCTTCAGGGTTTGTGTTCTTTTTTGGGTCTTGGGTGGAGGTGGTTTTCAGTAAGACAGGTCCTTTATGGAACTAAACCAATCCTTCAAAACCATGCAAACATTTTGAGTTTCCCCGCTCTATAGTATTTGCTTTGGCAGTCACTTGCTCTTGCTGAAGCATCCGCCTCCGATCCTCCGGCGACATGCTTGACACAGGCCCTGTCAATGATAGATTGAGATCCTCAAACTTTGGCGCCTTGGATTGAGGAGGGGGTTGGGTGGCCCAGGGC